TCTTTCAATGGCCTAAGAAACCTACAGAATGGATTTCTTCACTTGGTTCTTTCCTGGGACACTTGCCCTCCTCAGTATCTACAAATGGCATTTATGCAGCTCCCACAGGGCAGCACGATGAGGGTAGCACAAAGCAAACAAAACAGACAGGGTGCTAGCTCTTGAAAAGCTACTAGTCTAAACCAGTCACATGGACAAAAGAAAAAATACAATTTCCTAAAAATTAGAGAAATGTTTTCTTCAATATATAAACCAGTAACTTCTATGTAAGTAAAAAGTGAGATCTGCCTTCATAAATTCCAAAAGCTCTCATTACATTACATCACGCCAAGCAAGATGGCATGGGTTAGTCTTCACTGTACTCCCCCAAGCACTGGGCTTCCCTCTAAATGGTCAAATGGTGGCCTTCTGAAGGCAAGGCCTGTCCGCTCCCAGAGCCTGCATGGCCGAGCACACATGAGGCCCCGCTCACTGGCTCCCTGGGAAGCTCCCCCTGGATGGTGGTATTACAGGACAGCTTTTCAATTCCTAAGCACATTTCCACCACCATCTATCCATTCAACAAGCATTTCTAGAGCACCTAAGTCAGAGCCTTGGGTTATAGATTAAAAAAAAAAAACCTCTAATTCAAGGAATTCCAATGTAATAGAAAAGACAAGTGAATAAACATTTAAGGGTAGTATGGCAGAGAACAGGGGACTGGGCAGGCCAAGGAGAACCTCCGTCCCACTGGAACGGAGGCATCTGGGAGAGTCCCGGGAGGAGCTGACGGCTGTCCCAACCCTGAGGGACAGCAACGAGCTGGCCAGGCAAAGAAGTGGGGAAGGCGCTCCGGGCAGAGCATCCGGGACAGCTGCCTCACACACTCCCAGAACATCTTCCCTACCTCTCCATGCAGCATCTTCTCAGATGATACAAATAATCTTAATATTAGTCTAAGAATTATATGGCCAAATAGGTAATATAGCCTCAAAAATGATTAGATGACACATTTTGAAGTAAAAAAAATCAATGTGCTTTTGACTGTCCTCCATTAGGGTGATGGCCTGGCTGCCACCTCCCTCTCCAGGCCTCTCTTCTGGCCCTGCCATCCCAGGCTCCAGCCACTGAACATCGCATGGTGTCATGTCCATATGCCTTTGCCTTAGCCTGGCTGCTCTTGTCCATCTTGGTTGGTCAATAAACTGACCATGTCCGCAACCCCCCCCCCCCACAATCCAGTTAAACATCTCCTACTGTCTGATGTGTCCCTTTGCCTCGTCTGTGCCACTGGCTTCACCTGGACCTACTTCATAGGCACCTCTATCTGCTTAACTGCCTTTCCTACTCGACAGGAAAAACTGGAGAGAGCAACTAGGCCTTATTAATCTTTTCACCACAGGGGTCTAGCACAGTGCCTGGCCCATAGCAGGAATAAAATAAATGCTTGCTCAGTGAATGAAGATAATTACGGGTAAGTATATATTGCTCAAAAGGGCTATGAAGAAGCACAGTGAGAAAGAACCCACACTCTCAGGATTTCTAATCAAACGTCAAAGCCCTTCAATAACCTCACACATGTACATCCCAAATGAAGCTATAAAGGTCAACCTTTGAAAGACCTAAGTTAGGTATCAAAGACAGTGAGGGAAAATATTTAAGCCTAACAAAAAAATATTATCCTACAAAATTTATAATGGCCCTGCCTAAATCCCAAAGCTATCTTCCTTCTTGTTTCTTTGGGAGGAAATAAGGAAAATCAGCTTGCAACAAATCAATCAAGCAAGCATTTATCAGAACTTCATGTTCAGGACTGGGTAGGTGCTGCGGATATACACACATACTGATTCCTGATTCAAAGTCGAACAAAAAGAAAGCAAAACGAGAAGCAGAGAACGTCAGATTTCCTCTTGAATCCCAGCCTGACTTTCCTCTGAGCCCTGACAACACTGGTTTATTCTCACAACCAGGTGACATCAAGCTTCCCCTCAGTGTCAACCTCCTACAGCTTTCACAAAGCCTTCTCTGACTTCTCTAGCCCACATTAATTTTTCTCTTTTCTGTATTCTTATGGAATTTCTTGTCTGTATAATTAATTTTGGCATTAAATCACACTGTCTTATATTATTATCCTTTTCTTACGAGTTTATCTTTTCTCTCCCAGAGAGCCTGTAAGATTTTTAAGGATCACGTTTTGTATCTCTGACGATACTGTACTAAGCACACAGTAAGTAGATGCTCAATAAACACGGATGGATTGACCTGGTACCTTTCTGGCAGGTGTCCAAGTTCTCTTTGCTGACACAGGCATTTACTACCATCTCAAGGTCAAACACATTCACCAAAGAGCAGAGATACCAAAAGAGGCACAGAGTGGGACATCTCCCACCAAAGCAGAAAGGCCGGCGAGTCCAGAGGTGATAATCCAAGACCACTGGGCTCCATGGCGGGGGGGGGGGGCGGCGGGGGTCTTGAAAAAGCTTACCCCTCCCTGAGACATGAGCACCTGCGGCAGAGCCCAGAGAATCCCATTTTCTAGGCTTGGGTTCAGAGAAGGAATATCTGTCCTTAAAGAGCCAAGACATGGGAAGGAAAGGGCTCTAGATGTAAAATGGGCAGGAACACACGAGTGGAGGCCATAAATCCCTCCCAGGACGCAGACAATGCCTCAGTGATAAGCATGCAGATTGCACACCTAGTTCAGAAACTCCCCTGAGTTTGCTTGTAATTAAGGGGGTTAGAAAGGTAAAAAAAAATATATAAACCCAATTAATCATTTAAATATTTAAAGTCAGATTTTTTTCCTCACTCCAGGATTAGTATATTTCATAATGCCAGCAGCAGACAGCCCTGGTTTTTACTGGGGTTCATTTTAGAGCATGTTTAAACTAGTCAGATTGAGTGATGCTTCCAGCAACTAATCGCATGTCAAATAAAAGATATTTTATGTAATAAATTACCGCTACAAGTAATTCAAATGTCATTTATCAGTTTTATTATCAGTCAGGCAAAGTCTTGTTTCTCTATATTAATCAAAATCAAGCTTTTTTTTTTTCTTTTTGAGCAGTTTTGACACCTCTTGGCAAAAGTACAGAAGTGAAGAGGTAGAGTCACCCCGGGAGCTGAAAGGAGCAGTGTAACAGTACAAGAGGAATGAAGCGCAACAATGACAAGTAGAAACTTCAGGGATTTAAAATTGCCATTACCATTGTTTTTATACTAGTGTCAAAGCAGGAAGGAGTCTGTCTCTAAGAAGATGTATTTTATTTTTAGGGCTGGGAGACTCTTAAAAATACTCCTACCTAAATACCTAAACGTGCTATGCTTCTTCTCAGAGAGACCTGGACAGAAGAATCTAGATGATGGCATTGTCCCCCTCCCCGACTTCTTTCACCTCTTTCAGAAAGACCAACAGTTTAACCCTTTGTGCCTACCATAAAGTAGGCAAGCGCATGATGTTTTAGGCCAACTTTGTGACCAACCAGAACAATTTGTACTGAGCAAGAAGTTTCCACATAGCCAAGAGACCTGTTTGGTTTTAAGCCATGGAGGAAACAGCTGGAACAGACAGATGTGCATCTTAGAAAATTCTGCACCCCAGCTGCCACTGCCTGTCCTCAACAAATTCCATTAAATGGCTGGGCCCAGGGACACAACTAAAGAAACAAGGAGAGTATGTTTAGTGACCCAAAACAAACACAATGGATTGGAAAGAATGCCGGCCAGGAAGGAGACGTGAGTCCCAGCCTGACAAGTAGTTGCTACTGACTCAGTAGCTCCAATATAAGGCTTACCGCTGAGCACCATTTCTTGGGTCTCAGAGGTCAGGGGACGCCAATGGTTTGTGAGACAAGGTGACCACGGATGAGGTGAACTTGAATTTGTGCTACCTGGCCTCACCCATTCAGCCTTATCCAGAAAGCAAAAGAAAGGAGATATCTAACTGAGATCTGTGACACCATAACCCACTGCCCGGCCCCCTGCACTGTCTAAGCCAGTGAGGAGGACGGCAAAGCAAGAGCCAGAAGGTAGCTCCAGACCACGTGGTGGGGGTCAAAACAAGCCTGGCATTTTGTTATGCCTTCCAAAATCTGACATCTAACACTGTTTTAAATTAACATGTTTTGAAAAAAATAAACCTTCTAAGATAAGACAATTAAAATGAAGACAATTACAGAAAAGGCATTTTGAAAGACAACAGATCCAAGGCTGAGTTATGTTAAAGACATGAAACTTGAGCTATCTTCCATCACTTTGAAGTGAATTTTAATCTTTTTAGACTTTTTATAAGTGACTTAAAGAAGGGGTTCTGGTTGTATTTTGGAGACTGTACATTTATTACTAGTTTGAAGAACAGTTATTCCTCAAACAGCTTCACTTAAAAACAACATGGGTCCTGTTCTCATATAATAATTAAAAGCTAATTCAAAAAAGGACCTTTACATTTAATCTGAAATTCTCTAACAGACTGTCACCACATAAATATACATGGTATAGCCAGGACAAGGAAGGAAAGAAGGAAGGAAGGAAGGAAGGAAGGAAGGAAGGAAGGAAGGAAGGAGAGAAAGGCGACGGGAGAGGCCACCCCAAATCTACTAATATTAACTTTAAAAAATAAAATTAGGAGAGGAGTCATTTCAGTGAGCAAACGAGAATGCGGTCATGAATCAGACATTCATGTTTTTCATGAAAGAGTGACAGGCAAAAGCATGATGTAAGAAAATAGAAACAGAACCAAGAAATACTTTTATAGATTCTTACTTATAACCAAAATATTTCAAACAACACAATACACTCATTTATTCTGGTCCCTCGTCTCTTCTTAAACCTTTGTCACATACTTAAAAGTTTGTCTAGGAGAGGATTTGGGTGTGGCACATTCTTTTGGAAAAACCCAAGAGCTGTCTACTAATCCCGGTTTCTCCCGGCTTACTGAGTCTGGGAGTTGGGAGGCACTGCTCTTTGGCCGGAATCCTGAACCCCAGTCAAGGTTAAAGCAGGAGTTTGAGCGGGTGACTTACTGTACGGCTGAGAAATGAGGTGAGGGGGCTGGACAGGAACCACCTGTGTGGCTGGGCCCAAGGACGAAGGCTCATCGGCAGCCGTGCCCGACTGCTGGAAAGCCAAATCAATCTCTTCATCTGTCAGCCCTGGGGGGAGAAGAGGACATAATTGCAGGTGAATACCTTTTGCCACTGTCCCTGGCCGCAACGAAATCTGAGAAAAGACCCTGAGAGCCCACAGAGTGCCTAGCATCCTGGTAAGTTTCCTCCCCGATTTCGGATTCTCCGGAACCTCTCTCAGTTGCAATTTAACCTTAAGCGACAGAATATTAGCCTCCACACTGCTTCCAAATGTGGCTCATTCAATTTCCTTAATTTATCCTTGAGTTTATTGCTGCTTTTGAAGTCGCTCCGTACTGCAATTCTCCATTCTTCCCCCGAAAACAGATACCATCAACTGCAAATGTGACTCATTTTAATCTGTAATGGTGTTAAAAAAAGAGGGGGAAAAACTAACAATAATGCATGAAAACAGACAGGGAAACAAAAAACTAATTATTGGGTGAGACGACTAATTAGTCTCGATCGTTTCCGAAGACGGGAATAATTTGCTTTATTTTATGACAAATGCAGAAATAAAAAGAAAAATCAGGACTGACTGTGATTAGTATGAATGGGATATAGAATGTAAAGAAGAAAATAAAACAAGAAAACAGATCAAAACAAAGCCAGGCCCAAACTTTCAGATGGTTATTGCTCCAGCCTAGCATAGGCTGCGGGTATCGCCTTTGGCGAGCTTTTCTGCCTCCCTTTGTTTCAATCCTCCCCACACTAGAGCGCACTGCGCTCAGGACAGCCCGGAAGAGCAGGGCGCCATCTGCAGTGGCTGCAGCGCGTGGAGAGGATTTGCCCATGGGAGAGTAACAGGCCGGGGAGGGCCCGAGGAGACCCCATTTCCAGTGGGCACACGGATGCAGCCCACCGGGGACGCTGGCCCTGTGGGAAGAGGACGAGGATGCCAACCAACCCGAAGAACAGGAACGAGGTGTGGCACACAGGTGTGAGAAACACTTGCCCACAGGTCCGAGAAGTGGGTACAGTGGGTATGAAAGTGCTCAGGCCACCGACAGTGGGAGCGGCAGTGGGGAGGTCACTGCTAAGTCTGCAGAGACCCCTCCGGCCAGCCCGTGCCGTTCCAGGAATCCCAGTATCCAGTGCAGCCGCCACGGAGAGCCTTTAAATGGGGGCCGAGAGCTTTTCCCCATCCGGTCAGCAGCTCTCCATTAGGGGCCCATGGCACGGCGTCTTTGCCCCTGGGGGTAGATGAAGTTCAAGGGGCTTCTGAGGATCAGCATCTTCCAGAGCACGGGGCCGCCCGCTCTGTGCCAAGGGGCTAACAGATGGGGCGCATTACTGCTCCGGAGCACAGCACCACCCGACACCACACTTGCGTGTAGCTGGTGGAGCGCCACTGCCACTTTTCAGGCCCCACCGCCAAGCGGTCAGGGAGAGGCCTGCACTACTCTAAACGGCCCTGGACCCTCTGTTCCCCTCCCTACGCTGAACAGATGAGGGCTGTCCCCCCTTTGAAACCGCAGCCCTGCCCCTTCCCCCTCCGCACACAGGGGAGCCAGCCAGCGGTGGGCAAGGCTGCCCCTCAGTGAAGCCTGACTGCTGCGGGGTGGGTAGGGGCAGCGCACCCCACTCTCAGCGCACCAACGGGGCAGATGAAAAGGCTGGTGCTGAGCGCCTTCAAATACAAAAGCTACCTTTGAGTATGCGGGGCTGTACTGGGCCGTTCCTCCTCCCAAATTCCCCAGCTTGCCCCAAAGGCCTCCCGAGAGAAACAGGGGCAGGACAGACGGACAGGTACCCCGAGCGTGTGCCTCTCGGGCTCCATCCAGCTTGGGAACGACGGCTGGTCAACATCCAAAGAGAAAGGGGAACCCCTTTCAGAGTTCTCGGAGGAAAGACCCGGTTTTAACCAGTTCGTCATCCGCCGCGGGAGCAGCAGGCGCACGTGCGGCGTCAGCAGGGGCGGATGGTCACTGGTACACTGCGGCATTTCATAAACCTGGTGGTTCGTGTGCCTTGTCAGCCGCTGGCTGCAAATGAGGATAATTTTCCCAAAAGGAGCATTCAGTTGCTTTCTCATTTTCCCTTTTGGCTCTTTCAAATATAAACAAGTACGATAATGTTTAACGCTGGGGAAATATACAGTAAGTCACGGACTATGCCGCGGCCCTGAGAGCCGGAGCTGGTTAAAGGGACAACACTCCCTGCCCGCTGCTCTGCCCTCTGGCTCGGAGCTTTTACGAAGCCTATTTTCCTAATAAAACATGTTCCTTGCATTATTGCAGCCGAGCCCACTACTGAGGCCGTGGTTTAAAGGGCATCAGCACTTCCTTCCAAGCTCTTGTTTTTCAGAGACCTTATCATTTGATGCTCTAAATTTACATTGGCTGGAATTCTGATATCCCCAGTCCTCCGGAGAGTCAGGATTTTGATTTAGTTACATAAAATGAATCACTTTTCTTCTTGTAAAAAAAAAAAAAAAAAAGCATTTTCATGATCTCACTGAATAATATAATTTCATAGCTGGACCACGATCCCAGCCACTGCGTTCATTTAACAGATAAAGAACAACAACTAAGGCCCGGGAAAGGTGAAAACATGCCTCAGATCCCATGAGGCAGGGCATGGTGCCGCCAGCTCAACAACCCACGGCTCTCCATCTGCCGCCTGGTGACTGCCCCTCTAGTACAGAAACAACAAATGGCAGATTCTGAAATCACGTCTTAAGTCTTCAAGCTTGTGAGAGGTTGAGAGAAGCGCTAAATGCTCTCTCTCAGCCCCAGCTGGCACCCCATCTACAGGTGAGGGCTGACGAATGGTGTTTGGGGGCCAGACCAAAACAGCACAGAATCCAAACACCCAGATCCTATCTGCAAGTGACACGGGGACAACTTTTTGAACAACTCCAGAATGACAAGGGTAGTGTTCCCATCTCGTTCTAATATTCTAACTCCCAATAAATCCAAAGGCCTCTCACAGACCTTAGAGCCCTCTTCCTCAGAGTGCCCCCAGCTTGGGGTGTACTGGCCAGCCAGATTCAGTGTTCTCTCAACTCAGGTTGATCCATCTGGGACTCATCGAGACTCAGCGGGAAGGGGTGTCATCTCCTTCAGAACACAACAGTTACCTACGCAGTCATGGGCTCCTGCGGCTGAACTGACCCTGCCTTCAGGGAAGAGGGACAGTCACAGGACCCACACACAGGATATCCAGCCTTCCTTACCCTCCCCCCCTCCCACAGACGGCAGAGAGCTTAGATTGAGACCTTGCAGAATCCCAAAGGTTAAAAGGAATAATAAAGGAAACCGCCAATTGGAAGTGAATTATATTTGGCTGTGAAAGCTGAGGCATAGGCTATATTATAAAAGGCATCTCTTTGCGTTGTTTACCATCACCCTGACTAATGCAGACCTTTTTGTTGTTGTTGTTTTAAATAATCTCATGCAAATTAGACACACACACTTCCTTCCAGTTGATTGCTACCTGCAAGGAATAATCTAACCGCAGAGGGACCAAGCAAGGGCTGAGCAGAGCAGAGACGGGGGCAAAGGGTGTTGCCATCCTGTGGCAGGCAAACCTCCTGCCATGGAGTCTTCCTTCAGCCATCACCTTTGGAAGAATTAGCCAATTTCAATAAAGCCCAAGAGTTTCTTTTAGTTGGGGTATCAGTTTGCATTATGTGATATCACTAGCGCTTTGCATTTAGATTCTTTCGGTAACGTCAACCTTTGCCACTTGCCAATTCCAAGAGCTACCTGCCTTGGTCTATGACAATTAAAACGTTATCATTGGGGTGCCTGGGTGGCTCAGATGGTTGAGCGTCTGCCTTCGGCTCGGGTCATGATCCCAGGGTCCTGGGATCGAGCCCCGCATCCGGCTCCTGGCTCAGTGGGGAGCCTGCTTCTCCCTTTCCCTCTGACTCTCCCCCTGCTCATGCTCTCTCTCTCTCTCTCTCTCTGTATCTCTGTCTCGAATGAATAAATAAAATCTTAAAAAAAAAAAAGTTATCATTGACAGAGAGTAAAACCAAGAAAGTCCTGCTCAGTTATTCCATCCACTCACTAGCTTTAGCCAAGACGAGGAGAAAGGAGCGAGGGCACCGGTCCAATGTGAGGAGGCCAGAACACCTGTCTCTGAGAGGCAGTGTCATTTCACCTTTAAGATCACAGGTGCCTGGAGGTGCCTGGGTGGCTCAGTCGGTTAAGCGGCTGCTTTCAGCTCAAGTCATGATCCCAGGGTCCTGCGATGGAGCCCCACGTCTAGCTCCCTGCTCAGCGGGGAATCTGCTTCTTCCTCTGCCCCTACCCCCGCTCGTTCTCTCTCTCTCTCAAATAAATAAAATCTTTAAAAAGGGAAAAAAAAAAAAAAAGGACCACAGCTGCCTGACTGGCAAAACTGAGAGCTCTCAATTCACACGGTGCAGACGAAGGTGCCGAGCACCCGGAATCAGAGTGGAGTCCTTGTTCTCTGAGTTCTCTGGACTCTACTTCCAGAACCAGTGTCCTTTACAAGGAGACGGCTGCGGCCCTGTGCAGAAGCCGCCCGGGAGGTTTCTTTTCCAACACTTTCCCCAGGGTGGGATTCTTTTAAAAGAACAGAGCAAGCAAGTTACAAGCTATTGATTAATAAAGCCCCTTGTTACTGCTCTGGGCAACTCAAGTGAAGCTTCCTCCTCGGGGCTGCCACGTTTGTATCCCCTAGAAGATACACAGATTTGTTTTCTTTTTCTAAAGGTTTCGATTCAAATGCAAACAAAACCAAACTGGTTGACTTTGTGAGCCGCAGCTGGGAGCTGGGACCTGGGAGCTCGACGCTGCAGGTCCTTTCCCACGGACTCAGACAAAACTGGGCACCGGGCACCGGGAAGAGCTGACTTTTAACTGCGGGACTGGCTGTGCAAGGGCTTCTCAGAATAAGTCACCTCGGTGCTGTCCCCAGTGCCCGCTGAGCACTGCCACGGGGCCTGGCCCTATGCAGGTGAAGCAGAAAGACAGGTGACAGCAGACAGCAGCATTCCCTGCATCTTGCAGGTCAAACAGGTCAAACAACAGCCAGGACAGCAGGGTTAGGAA